TCACCCTAAAGGTATTTGCTAGTTTTGAGGTCAGGGGTCTCTGTAGGCCACTTGAGTTCCTCCACACCAAACTCATAAAACCATGTCTTTATGGAGGAACTCGAGTCCTGACCTCAACCCTCCTGAACACTTTTACGATGAACTGGAATTCTGAGTCAGATCTTCTCATCCAAACATCAATACCAAACCTCAGAAATGGTTTTTTAGGTTAAATGGCCAAAAATTCCCGCAGACACACACTCCAAAGTCTTGGAAAGCTCTCCCAGAAGAATTAAATTAAGTCTGTTATGGCGTCAAAGAGGAATATATTAAAGGTAATTGTTTTTTTAGAATGAGATGTTCAACAAGCTCATATAGCTCTTCATGGAGCTGTTGGGTGTTCATTGGGGTTCAGGTCACAGGGCTCTGTGTAGTCCACTCAAGTTCCTTCACACCAAACTGGTTAAACCATGCCTTTATGGAGCTATTGGCTCACTTATTCCAGTTCTTCCCAAAAAGACATTCAGTAGGGTTGAGGTCAGGCCACCCATGTTCCTCCACTTATATCTTTATGGAGCCATCTACGTGATGGTCAGATGCCCACAACCTTTGGCCATAAATTGTAAATATTATCAGAAACTCTGGCCAAAGAGGTTTGTTCTTATGCTTAGAATTTCATTTTAAATGGCTAATCCCATGAATACGTTTCCAAAAACGATGATTACTCTGAAAACCAGTGGCTTGGCGCTGCAGTCAGAAACATAAAAACTTGCCAGTTGCCTAATGTTCTGCCCTATACACATAAAAAACAAAAATAGCATTTCTGTTCAGCAGCGTCTGGCAGGCTGTTGTTTTGGTAAAAGAGGAATCACAAGTCACTTGTCACCTTTAATGAATTGAAGCTAATCTATTTATATGCAGCAGCACTTCAGTGGGAGCAGCATGCATACCTCTCGCTGTAGGTGCAAGCGGCCCCTCTGACAGCTCGTACATAATGCATACCGCATCTACGGGGCCCTCGCACGTACACAAGAAGCCTCTTTCAATATGTAGTGTCTTCTTTATTTCCCCTGGGCTGTTGTTCTTCTCGTTACTGCCACGGTGAGAGCACTCGATTAAAATCTGAGAAGTCAATCAGATCTCCCTCAGATGGAATCTCGCTGTCTTCACATACACTGTGTCTCCGGGACTTTTTAAAGCCAAAAACACCAAAACATTCCAGGATGAAGCTGAGAAATTTATCACATGAGCTGAATTAATAATGACCATGTGCAATGTCATTACTGCAGACGTTTCCTCAACAAGTCGTATGGCTTGGCCCGTTTTTTCTCTTGTAAAGTATCTCTGTGCTCTTATATTGTAAGCTCCCAGGATCAGGGCCCTCCTATCCCTCTTAGATTGTAAGCTCCGAGGATCAGGGCCCTCCTATCCCTCTTAGATTGTAAGCTCCCAGGATCAGGGCCCTCCCTAAGCTCCCAGGATCAGGGCCCTCCTATCCCTCTTGTATTGAACTGTATTGTTGCTGTATTGTCTCCTAGTATATTGTAAAGCGCTGAGCAAACTGTTGGCGCCATAAATCCTGTATAATAATAATAATATAAATCCTGTATAATAATAATACATAACTAGTTAAACAAATAATAACATGTTCGAAGATCAGAAAGGCAGAAAATGTATTTGGCTCTTCCAGTGATAAAGGTTTTTGTGAATATTGGACTTATCACCTTTAAAATGAACCTGCTAAAACCTTGAAGAAAAAAAAAAATTATATAAGTGGAGGTTACAGGTTTTCTTCAAAGTAAATGTATCACAAAGCTCAGTATATAATGCACAAACTAAATCAGCAGAGGAGTTATCTTAATTGAAAATCAAACTTCAAACCAATCAAAGATATAGGCAGCTGAAGTCATAAGCCAATCTTAACTTTCCTTGAATATGTAAAAAGCCAATAATAAATATTTATATATACATATATGTGTGTGTTTTTTGTTTTTAAATTCAGCACTTCCTGAATTAACAGTCCACATTTTTTTCGCATAAATATCAATAGTCAGTTTTTTTCCTCTCCTCTACCCCCCCCCCTCCCCCCCTTTCTCTTCCTCTCTCCCCACTCTCTCTTGATCTTTCTCTCTCTCTCTCTCTCTTGCTCTCGCTCTCTCCCTCCCTCTCCCTCCTTCCCTCCCTCTCCCCCTCCCTCCCTCCCTCCCTCTCTCCCTCCCCCTCCCTCCATTCCTCTCACCCTCTCTCCATTCCCTCTCTCCCTCCTGCCCCCCCTCCCTCCCTCCCCCCCCTCCCTCCCTCTCTCCCCCTCCCTCCCTCCCTCCCTCCCTCCCTCCCTCCCCCTCTCTCCCTCCATTCCTCTCTCTCCCTCCTGCCCCCCTCCTCCCCCCTCCCTCCCTCCTCTCCACTCTCTCTCCCTCCCTCACCTCTCCCTCCTCCCTCCCTCCCCTCCCTCCCTCCCTCTCCCTCCCTCCCTCCCTCCCTCCCTCTCTCCCTCCCACCCTCCCTCTCTCCCTCCCTCCCTCTCTCCCTCCCTCTCCTCCCTCCCTCCACCTCTCCCCTCCCTCCCTCCCTCCCTCCCTCCCCTCCCTCCTCCTCCCCTCCCTCCATTCCTCCCTCCCTCCTGCCCCCCTCTCCCTCCCCTCCCTCTCTCCCTCCCTCCTCTCCCTCCCTCTCCCCCTCCCTCCTCTCCCCCTCCCTCCCTCTCCCCCCCTCCCTCTCCCCCTCCCTCCCCCTCTCCCCCTCCCTCCCTCCCTCTGCTCCCCCTCCCTCCCTCTCCCCCCTCCCTCCCTCTCGTCCCTCCCTCCCTCTCCCCCCTCCCTGCCCTCTCTCCCCTCCCTCCCTCCCTCTCTCCCCTCCCCTCCCTCTCCTCCCTCCCTCTCTCTCTCCCCTCCCCCCTCCCTCCCCCTCTCCCTCCCTCTCTCTCCCTCCCCCTCTCTCTCCCTCCCCGTCCCCCTCTCCCTCCCTCCCCCTCTCTCTCTACCCCTCCCTCACCCCCTCCCCCCCCTCTCTCTCTCCTCCCCCCCCCCCTCTCTCTCCCCCCCCCCATCTCCTCCCTCCCCCATCTTCTCTCTCCCTCCCCCCATCTCTCTCTCCCCTCCCTCCATCTTTTCCTCCCTCCCTCCCTCCATCTCGCTCTTCCCTCCCCTCCCTCTCCCTCACTCTCTCTCCCCCTCCCTCACTCTCTCTCCCCTCCCCTCACTCCCCCTCTCCTCCTCTCTCTCTCCCTTCCTCTCTCTCTCCCCTTCCTCTCTCTCTCGCCCCTCCCTTCTCTCTCCCCTCCCCCCTCTCTCCCCCTCCTTCCCCTCTCTCTTTCCCTCCGTCTCCCCCTCTCTCTCTTTCCCCCTCGCCCCCCTCTCTGCCCCCTCCCCCCTCTCTCCCCCTCCCCTCTCTCTCTTTCCCCCTCCCCTCCCTCCCTCCCTCCCCTTAAACTCATAATCTCTTTTTCATGTCAATCTCTGTCTGTTAAAATTGTGAGCTGACCCCTAGACTTGACTCCTTTGTTCCAGCGTTCGCTCAGTAGATTTCTTCAGTTAATAGCTGGGCCTGTGGCCCCTAACCCATCTCCAACCTAAGTTCCTTGTGATGTCACCGTAGCAAGCTAACCACATAAATGCACACAAATTGGGAAAGTTCAAAGAAAAACATTTGTTGGTTGAACCAGGTACAACACCTGATACCCCCCCCCCCCCCCCCCCCCCCCCCCCCCCCCCCCCCCCCGCCTTACTGCATTGTGTTCCCTCTTCATGGGTGCACTTTGAAAACTTGTACATTTCCAGCCGGTACCCAGGACAGCCGTCATCAGCCGTCTCTCATCACTGTCATGTTTTCCCGCCGCAGTTGCAGTCTGGGTAATCTATTCTAATGAAGATCAGATCGGTTCTTGTACGCCGATACATTTAACTCCCTGTGACAGCTCCCTCTTGTTCCATCTCCTAACTTGTTTTTCTCACAGCTCTGTCCTCGTTATGCTCGAGCCTCGCCGCCTTCCCAGAATTGATGGGATATTTACTGCATGAAGCGTTTTTTGAAGTCGTACGTACTGTGAGCATAAATCAAACCCGTTCATGCAGCATCTCGGAGAAAATGTATTTGCCTTGAGCGTATTCTCCTTCTAGGGTTTCTATAAGTGAATATTAGAAGCTTTTCATTATCGGCTCATTATGTTGGATGAAGGAGACGGGAGACTGTAGCGAGAGGGGGAATTTTCCGCAGTTGCAATTTTATTTTCCAGCGATACGGTTAAAGGCGCACTGGCTTCTTCCTTTTGCTCGCTCGTGCCTACCGCAGGAAATGTATACCCTGGATGGAAATGTAGGTTTACCTCTGTGCTCGCTTGATGTACAAATATGAGGATTGCGTCTTTCCTGTTATGCAGCCTGAGCCTTTCCAGCTGGATACACATTTCCCAATTCTCTCTGACAATTCCCTTTTTTTTTTTTTTTTTTTTTTTATTGCTTAATTGGTATGTATTTTCATGTGCTGTCTCTGCACAACAGAAGAATAAAAATGTTGCCTGAACATTACATTAAAGGCCCATTTAGACGTTCGTTGTGCATTGCAATTACCATGCGTGTTGACATGCTGTTTCCTGTGTTGCAGTGATACAGTTCATTCATTTTCCACAATTTTCCCGGTGCAGCACAACACACTGGTGGCTCATATGTACCATGCACTAAAATACAAATGTGCTACTTAGTCAGGCTGAAAAAAAAAAACAGAAAGATGAAGGAAGAAAAAAAGTGCAGTATGTCACAACCAGGGGCAGACTGACCATTTGGAAACTCGGGCACTGCCCGAGGGCCCATGGTCAGTAGGGGGCCCCATGAGATGCCCCTGATACCTTTTTCATAAACTTTTTTGTTTGGGCAAGGACCCAGGGGCCCCATGATTCCCTATTGCCCGGGGGCCCCATGAGTTGTCAGTCCGCCCCTGGTCACAACATATGTGGTTAGCTTGCTACGGTGACATCACAAGAAAGTTAGGTTGGGGATGGGTTAGGAGCCACAGGCCCAGCTATTACATATGTGTATGATGATTTAACCCCCCTGGCGGTATTCCCGAGTGTAGCTCGGGGTAAAGTTTCAGCACCACAAGCGGTGACCCCCCCCCCCCCCCCCAGCTACACTCGGGAATACACTGCAGAGTTTCTCCGGGATCTCTTCTTCACTTACCTTGTCCTGCGCTCCCGCGATGTCCCTCCTGCAGTGTCCCCGGCAATGTCCTCCGGCCGATGTCGGCATCTGTCTTCTGGGTTCCGTTCCCTGCAACGTTGGGACGTACGGGGGACAGAATGTCGGGAAATTCAAAGATGTGAAAAAGTGACATTCACTAAACTCACTAAAATCACATCGTATATAACATTCCTGTATCAAACCATTTCACATACATTTTGTCCCGAGTGCTTTGTCCGGCGCCCTGCCTGCATTTTTACCGTTCTTTCTGCCTGGAAACTGAGAAACGTCCATGGCGTCCAAAAAGCATCCCTTTAGGTCAGACGCGGTTTTAGACCGGCTAGAGAACAGCGATAGTAAATCAGAACCACTTGCAGAATTGAGTGATAATGATTCGGGGGGGAAATTCATCATCAGACACTGAAAACGATTCTGCGACTGAGCTCAGCGATGTGCGAACTTGGCGCTATATTTCACATTTCAGTGTTTTTGGTTTGATTATATTATTGAATTACATTTATTATTATTATTATTATTATATTATTATTTTTTATGATTATTTATTAAATTATAATTTATGATTTTGTATTTCAAATTTTATCATCCCCGGGATGTTTACTAGACTCTTGTTCGGACAGATTTCAGTGAGTTATTCCTAAAAATGACAGGCCTACAATAAAAAAAACAACATATTTCCATGCAAAAAAAAAAAGTACCGCTTTGAGCACAGAAATACTGACATAATCAGACCACTAGGGAGGCTACAACTGTTTATTGATATTAATTATATTTACTCTGTTGCTGGTCACATGTTCAAAATCATAAACAAAAAAAAATCCTACACTTAGAGGACTAGAACAATGGTCACTAAATGGCAGACCGCGAACGGCTCCAGCAGTGCTGCCGCCTGGACCGCCAGCCCGCAATGACAATCGGGCGGTCGACACGGCAACATGACATCACATGTACGCCCCACCCCTTTCAGCTCACTGTCTCTTAAACTCCAGCTCCCTGCCTGTACACAAGTGTCCAGCAAGGATCCCGGCACAGCTCCTGTCTGCCCTCAAGGTTGGGTGTAGTCTTACAGAGGCACTCTGATGGACACATTGAATGTTAAGGGGCACTCTGATGGGCACAACATAGAATGTGCCCATCAGAGTGCCCCTTAACATAACGTTCCCATCAGAGTGCCCCTTAATATAGCATGTACCCATCAGAGTGCCCCTTAACATAACATGTATCCATCAGAGTGCCCCTTAACATAACGTTCCCATCAGAGTGCCCCTTAATATAGCATGTAACAGTGCCCTTAATATAACATGTATCCATCAGAGTGCCCCTTAACATAACGTGCCCATCAGAGTGCCCCTTAACATAACGTTCCCATCAGAGTGCCCCTTATATAACATGTACCCATCAGAGTGCCCTTAATATAACATGTATCCATCAGAGTGCCCCTTAACATAACGTGCCCATCCGTGCCCATCAGAGTGCCCCTTAATATAAAATGTGCCCATAAGCATGCCCCTTATTTTATGTTAAGGGGCACTCTGACTGGCCCATTTTATGTGTGAGGTTCACTCTGATGAGCACAACATCGACTGTGCCCATCAGAGTGCCCCTTAACATAAGATATATCCATCAGAGTGCCCCTTAATATAAATGTGCCCATCAGCATGCCCCTTATTTTATGTTAAGGGAGCACGCTGATGAGCACATTTTATGTTAAGGGGGCACAAATGGGCACATACTGTGGAAAGGGGCACTCTCATGGGTACATGTGATGGAAAGGCGCACTCTGATGGGGAATATGATGTAAAAGGGAACGTTGATGGGGAAATATGATAGAAAAGGGTGCTTTGAGTGTAAGGGGGCACTCTGATGGTAATACCTGATGTAAGGTGGCAATGTGATGGGGATACCTGATGTAAAGGAGCACTCTGATGGGCACACCCGATGTGATGGGGTTACCTGGTGTAAAGGAGCACTCTGATGGGCACACCCGATGTGATGGGGATACCTGGTGTAAAGGAGCACTCTGATGGGCACACCGATGTAATGGGGATACCTGATGTAAAGGGGCACTGATGATGGGGATACCTGATGTAAAGGGGCACTCTGATGGGCACACCCAATGTGATGGGGATACCTGATGTAAAGGGGCACTCTGATGGGCACACCCGATGTGATGGGGATACCTGATGTAAAGGAGCACTCTGATGGGCACACCGATGTGATGGGGATACCTGATGTAAAGGGGCACTGTGATGGGCACACCCGATGTGATGGGATACCTGATGTAAAGGGGCACTCTGATGGGCACACCCGATGTGATGGGAATACCTGATGTAAAGGAGCACTCTGATGGGCACACCCGATGTGATGGGGATACCTGATGTAAAGGAGCACTCTGATGGGCACACCCGATGTGATGGGGATACCTGATGTAAAGGGGCACTCTGATGGGCACACCCGATGTGATGGGGATACCTGATGTAAAGGGCACTCTGATGGGCACACCCGATGTGATAGGGATACCTGATGTAAAGGGGCACTCTGATGGGCACACCCGATGTGATGGGGATACCTGATAAAGGGGCACTCTGATGGGGATACCTGATGTAAAGGGGCACTCTGATGGGCACACCCGATGTGATGGGGATACCTGATGTAAAGGGGCACTCTGATGGGCACACCCGATGTGATGGGGATACCTGATGTAAAGGGGCACTCTGATGGGCACACACCCGATGTGATGGGGATACCTGGTGTAAAGGGGCACTGTGATGGGCACACCCGATGTGATGGGGATACCTGATGTAAAGGAGCACTCTGATGGGCACACCCGATGTGATGGGAATACCTGATGTAAAGGGGCACTCTGATGGGCACACCCCATGTGATGGGGATACCTGGTGTAAAGGGTCATTCTGATGGGCACACCCGATGTGATAGGGATACCTGATGTAAAGGGGCACTCTGATGGGCACACCGATGTGATGGGGATACCTGGTGTAAAGGGGCACTGTGATGGGCACACCCGATGTGATGGGGGATACCTGGTGTAAAGGGGCACTGTGATGGGCACACCCGATGTGATGGGGATACCTGATGTAAAGGGGCACTCTGATGGGCACACCCGATGTGATGGGGATACCTGATGTAAAGTTGCACGCTGATGGTGACACGTAAGGGGGCACGTTGTTGGGCACACCCTATTCGGCCAGAAGAAAATTTTAGTGACTGGACCTCCTTGAATTTAATTCAGTACCTCTGGACTAGAAGCTCCTCCTGCTTATGACCCCCTGCAGACAGGCTGGGTAGGAGCTGGGTCATGTTACAGCTGTATATCGAATAAGAAAAGGGGTACTTAGATGGTCTGTCTTTTTTTTTTAATAAACTAATTACAATGCCATCTCCCATATACAGAAAGAGAAGGGATAATGAAAATTAAACAGTGCGTGTTTAGTGTCACTTTAAAGTGGAACTTCACTCTCTCAATCAACATTGATTATTTTGAATTCTTATGCTGCAAGCATTAGTGAATAGATAGGAAAGTATATTCTATTAACTTCCTGGTTTCCATGCCTAGGCAAATGATGTCATACATCCCAGAAGTCTTCAGCAGGGGTTTTCTCAGCCAAGCACACCCTCCTGTCTGCATGCCTGAGCTAAGGTCAGGATTCCAGGAAGTAATTGCTACACGAGTCATCTTCCCTTATTCAAGATGGCCACAGCCAGAAATGCTGGGGGGGGGGTTGGGGTCTAAGTGATTTCTCAGCAAAAAATAAAGCATGGAGGCAAGGATGGATGGGGGGGATTTGGTTTGAATATTAAAAATGAATTCAATAGCTCTTTTGGTTTGTGTTGTTCAGATACATTGTAGTTGCATTTTAAGTAACCTTTTTATTTTATCTTTTCTTGTAGAAGCTTGACTGGGACCGCAAACCTGAACACGACCCGTCAGATGTCCGTCCCTCATTCTCACGCTTTTATAGACCTAACTGGAGACTTTACAGCTGGTACGTTCAATAGCAAAGAAGAATTTCTTTCAGTATTGACCATAGCCTTGAGTAGTGTTCTTTAACCTCCAACGTGTGGATAAATGTACATAAAACATATACATATGACAACTTCTGCCTGCTGAGCATTACAGGTTATTCTCCAAGGAACTTAAACCTTGGCAGTATGCTTTCCTCAGTGGAGTCTTTTTAACGAGCCTCCCCCATTCCTTCCCAGTTGATACAGGTGGATTTACGACTCTAGAATGGCAGTCGTCTAGCCCAATGGCAGTTTTATTGATTCATTTATTTTTTTTTTTTACTCCTTTGCACAGCTGTTATAAAAATAATAAATGCAATTCTGGCTTCAATGCTCCCCTGCAGACTCACCACTCCGTGGTCTAGCATCGGCCCTCTTCCAGATTGAATGACAGTCGGTGTCAATCAAAAACACATACTAGCAGAATGCGGAAGAGGGTGAGGGGCAATTGGGATTTAAAGCTTTTAAAGTTTAGGTATGGCAATTTGTTTCATTCTTACATTGATCCACTTTGGACACATAGTAAGTGTGTATGTGCCTTACCTAGGTGATCCCCACGGAATATGGAAATCCCTGTAGTAGGCACCATTGCTACATTGATCTTCACTAGTTGCTGGGTCCCATGCTGAGCGTCTGCCCTGCTGCTTACTGATCACAAGAAGGTGCTAACTGAATGTTCATGCGCCATTTAATGAATGCAAGGTTTTCTCTGGTTGGACGAGGAAGGGAGAGGGGGGATGTCAATCCCTCCACTGGTCTTCACTCAGTGTCCTCCATCCCTCTCTGCCAATCCCTCCACTGACCTCCACTCAGTGTCCTCCACCCTTCTCTGCCAATCCCTCCACTCAGTGTCCTCCACCCCTCTCTGCCCATCCCTCCACTGGCCTCCACTCAGTGTCCTCCACCCCTCTCTGCCCATCCCTCCACTGGCCTCCACTCAGTGTCCTCCACCCCTCTCTGCCAATCCCTCCACTGGCCTCCACTCAGTGTCCTCCACCCCTCTCTGCCAATCCCTCCACTGCCCTCCACTCAGTGTCCTCCACCCCCTCTCTGCCCATCCCTCCACTGGCCTCCACTCAGTGTCCTCCATCCCTCTCTGCCAATCCCTCC